GGGCGTCGGAGATGCGTCGTGTGTGCACAAGCAAACGTAAAAAGAAAATTGGGAAGCCGGTCGTCTGTTTGTGGGGCTTTCTGCAACAGGCTGCCCTTCCAAGAAGTTAAAATGTTGTGAAGTTTTAGATGACTTTTTTTGGTTTTGCCTATGTTTCCATTAAAATACTGTGAAGCGATGAAGCCAGGGTTGTTAAACTAGTGTTTTAACACTAGTGATACAGGTGGAGGACCCTGGGAAGCCCTTCTTCAGTCCAGCGTGGCAAAAATTTAAGGGCCAGCTACTTGCTTGAAGCTTGCTTTGCTTCTGCCCTTGCTCTGATGGGAAGAGTATTACCAAGGTGCTAATTGGTAAAATATTCATGTGATCTTTTTAGAGAGCCGAAAGAGGCAGTGTGTGTTGCACAACATCGGGTGGGAAAACTTGCCCTGTACTGGCAATGGATAATGCTTTAGTCTTGCATGTTTTGCCCTTTTTTTTAAAAAAAAAAAAAAAGTATGGTTTTATCCCACACTTAAGAGTCTTGAGCATTAACTGAGGCTTCACTGTGCCTGGTACAAACATAAGATAGTGGCAGCATTTCACAAGTGAAATAAGAAGCCGTTGTTAGAGATCTCAGAAGAATACTAGGGACTTTGGAGAGTGGATTAAGGCATAGGAAGGAAAGAGTAAATGCCTGTTACTTTGAATCTTTTTTTTTTTTTTCTTTTCCTGTTTTTGGAATTAACTTTTTCTTACTCTAAACCACACCCAAATAATACATCAGAGCTGAGGTTAGAGGGTAGGATAGCGTTAAGAGAAAGTAACTGGGTGTGGGTTGGCAAAAGATGAGGCAAGTGCTTCTAGAATAATTCAGAATATTTTATTGCAGCCTAAGTCACCCAATAGCTTCAGTATGTGACGTTTCGCTTAGTTACAGCGTTAAGATTATAAAGCTGTCCTGATTTTTGACCCGAGGTTTATAGCGCTTGGGATGCTGCCTGCCAGCCAGAATGTCTAATAGCAACAAAGTGTTTATACTGTCTGTTTTCAGGCAGGCGCTAGTCAAGCTTTTTTTAATCTAAAATATCTTTATCTCTGTCTCTATATATAGACACATAAATATCTTTATTTTTAAAACAAATGTTGACTCACCAGGGTGCACAATTGACATTTGAAAAAATACTTTAACTACAATACAGAAATGGGTGTTGGAAATTATTTTGGAAATTCACTCACAACTATGATTATGACTTTAAGTTAATTAAATGGTTCATGACCCTTTTTATAGAATAAGAGTATTTGCCTTAATAGTAGCATGTCAAGTGGCATTTGATTATTTTGTTATCTCAACTGAGCGTAACATTTATCTCCTGTATTACTGTAAGCAGTGACTGGAGATAGTAGGAGCTAATGTTTTGGTTTAGGCTTATTTTATTAAATCCCCTGATATGAAAGATACAGCTTTTCATGACCACTTAAGCATGAGGAACTCTTGGGACCTTTTTTTCGTGAGACAGATGCTGGACTTTATTTGAAACTTGGAATTAAACTCTTGAAATAACTGTTCTGCCTCTCAAAAATGAAAAGACGGGTATCTGCATTTGATAAAGTTGAATGGTTTCAGATTACTGTCTGCTATTGGGCATCTGTCTAAGTTTCTTACTGTTCTGCCCATCAACTGTGCAGTGGTCTAAGGCATTGCTTTTACAAAAGAAATGTTATTTTCCTTTCTACGGGTTGGACAGAGTTTTCAAAATGGAGTACTATCTTTCTAACAGATCTGGAGTCCCCACACCTACCTGCCTTGCTGAGATCGTTTCCTTCCGTGGTGGAGCACGTAGTCTATCTGTCCTCAGAGCTGAAGGTGTTGAGATAAGCTTGACCAGTTTCCTTCTAGACTTACATGTAGAAAGGAACCAAGCAAAGCATATTCCCTTTAAACTCACCCTTCCAAGCACAGATTTAAGAAGAAAGCTCCCCTTTTTTCCACTAGTAAGGAAGGCTGGATTATAGATAGTATGTGGGGAGGAAGGTAAGGAGAACATGCTCATGTTTTATGCTTCCAGGAAGGTAGCATTTAGCCTCCTAATGCTGCTCTTCCAAGTTTTCTAAACCAGAAATACAAATATCCTGAATACTGATGTTGGTCCTAAAGTTACTTAATATGTTATGGCTGTATATAAGTGGTCTTAACCTCCCAGTGTACTTTTCAAACAAATATTGAGAGAATTGATGAAAGTGATTTACACACTTTGAGTACGTATGTATAAGCAGAATATTTTTGGTTTTCTGACTTGCTAGAAGTTTAATAAGCACAGCAATGTGTATGTAAGTGTTGTTTGGAAAGTATGGCAATCACTCAAAGTTTGCTAATTTGAGTTGAAATTGAGTGATGTGGTAACCTTGAAATGGTGAAGCAAAAGAAATTAAAGCAATGTCAAATTAAAACCATATCAGTTCTGTTTCTGGGGCGGAAGCTGGACCAAATAATGGGAGGAGAAGACAAGGCTCCTAGAATGACAATAATAGTAATAACCTCCTCCAACTCCAAAGTTCATTTTCAAAAGCAGTAATAAATGTGTTAATGGAGTTATCAAAAAATTAATATATATTGAGTCTGGGGTTCTCTGAGCAAGATGCGGAAATGCATCTTCTCTCCTACTTGAACTGAACAGAGAAAAGTGTGCTTCAAATAAAAACTGCAGGTCACCAAGACAAGTTAGGAACAGCATTTGCAATAACATCATATTGTTAAGAATTAGCCGGCTAGTGTGAATTAGTTTAATAGTTTCCATCATCATCATTTATCTGTATTTAGAAATTGATAATCGATTTCTGTGTATTTATTCAAATAAAACCACAAGGCTGGTATAACGTTTTTTTTCCTCTCTCCCCTGTTCCCAGAGTTGGTTCCTTCAATTATGAGTAACATGCTGAATCCGGATGCTATTTTTTCAAACAATGAAATGAGCCTGTCAGACATTGAAATTTACGGCTTTGATTACGACTACACGTTGGTCTTTTATTCTAAACATCTGCACACGCTGATCTTCAACGCTGCTCGAGATCTTCTTATAAATGAGCATCGGGTAAGTAAAATTAATGGAATAACAATAAACTTATGAATAAAGACTATAATAAATAATTTCTGACTGAGAGGGGTGTAATTCATCTTTTCATGCCTCAGTCCTGGCTTGGCTCCCTCACAACATGTTTTGTACAACAGCTACACCTGAACCACAGAAGTCCTGGTTTATTCTCAGCTGCAGTTTTGAGCAAAGCGCAATCTGACAACTGTTAAGGAATAGTTTTATTTGGTTTATTTTTTTAATTTGGTGGTGATGGGGTGGTTTTTTGTTTTTTCTTGATTGTCAGTTGGAGTCAGCATATATAAGGAGCTTAAAAGTTACTGTTACTCCATTCTGTGCATTGCTGTGAGTGCAGTGATTAATTTCCGTATGAAAGATTTTTAGCCTAACTTCGTACGAGACCTTTGTTCGCACTGTGGGCTTGTGAGGTGCTCTGTGTGTGCCTGGCGTTTCAGCTGACTTAGCTGAAAGGGCAGCATGTGCAGTGATGCTGTAATCAGAGGCTGGATACAGGAGAGACCCAGGTACGTGTTCAGCTCAGTAGTCCCCTCAAAGGGAGCACTGCCCTGTTCCCTCACCGAGCAGTGTGTTTGCATCGGTGACCAGTTGACATCCAAGCAGCTTGGAGCTGCTTGTTGTATAGCGTGGGGATGGGCGAAGTTACTGTGTGTCAGAAAGCCCAGGGGAGATGGGTGACTTGGCAAACT